CCAGAATCAGGGGTACCCTGAGTTCTCATAATTCTTGCTGCCTGGTCATCCCAAAGCACTGTCAAAACGCGGACTTAACCCTGAGCCTAAACCCCTAAACTGCCGTTTTCAGGCGGCGCACTACTTGTGGCCGCCTGACAACGTGCACAAGTCTTATTTTTCATCTTGCGATTTGGTTGAATATTGTAGGCCCTAATATCTTAGAACAAGAAGTGTTTACGAACTTATGTGTAATTATTATCTTATGAGTAATGCTTGTAGTGTTTCTTATGCTTCACATACCTCTGAAATGTACTTAGACTTCTACTTATTGTGATAGAGTTGAGCGTCACAGTTGTATGTACCATTGTCACCTACCAGCCCTTACATCCATCATTAAATAAATTATGTGTTTCATTTATATTATGGAACCAACTGAGTAGTATTTCTTTCCATATCAAAAGCTAAGCGATATGAAAATGTTTTTTTTTTTTTTTAACGTGCACGAAAATGTTGCTTGAACGTTACTTCATGCTTGGCAACAATCTTCCCAACGTTCTAGTATAACCTAAAAACATTAAAAGGTAAATACACAGTTGATAAACGACATTTCCAACATTAGAGGAATGTCGGTCGAACTGTTCAGCGAATATTTCTCTCATATAGTTAACGTTTGTTGTATTGAACCAACGTTCGACTAATGTGTGTTTATCAGTGAAGGTTTCTTAATGCAAAGAAAGTTAGAATATGGTGCATGCTCCATATGGACAACTCATTATAAGCTGAAAGAAATTAATTATTATAAATTTGGAAAAGTTGATTTTTTTTCTGTTGTAACTGGAACAAGTCCACCTACCTGGTGCCAGCACAGTTCTCACTGCAGGTGGAATGGGGAATGAAGAGGGTGGAGAATGGGGAAAAAGAAAAATTCTTAGGCGTGTTGATCAACCTGCAGATCAAAGCATCATCTCAAGGCGTCTTGCTACAGCAGCGGATTGCAGACAAACTGAGAATGTGGGGAAACACTTGGCACTTGTCCCTGTTGGGTAGGGATCTAGTCGCGAATGTGACCTTGTTCTCAGTCCTCTGGTTTGTATCAACAGTCAGGGAGCTAGCGACAGGTGTGATCAGAGCGGTCAGAAGACTGGTGGCTCGGTTTCTATGGAAACCTCGGGCCCAGATCACTGAAGGGTTCATATCCAAGGTTGCTATGGAGACAAAGGAGAACTAGGTCTGCTGGACCCAGGCCGTAGGAACCAGACCCAACTGCGGAACTGGGTGGCCAAGATCGCCACCATGAAGTCTCGTGAACAGTGAGTAGTAGTGGCTGAGCGCATCCTGATGGGCGAATGGAAGATGAGCAGGCCCCATGACGTTTGGGCTTGCTTTTTCACACCTTCTTTCTGCAAAAAGAAGCTCAAGTCCAAATTATGGGAACCAATCCGGCGAGCGTGGAACCGGGCCCCGTCGGATATGCAGACTCCTCCATCCACAAGGGAGGAAGTATTAAACCAGTTGCTGTTAAAGAATCCGACAATCATAGACCAAGCAGGCCAAGTCTTCCCAGCGGATGGATCCACTGGAATCTTTGGACAAGCATGGGTCAGGAGGGGAATCGTGAGAATAGCAGACCTGTGGTCGTCGCTCCTGGGAGGATGGAAAGTAATGGAGGAACTGAAAACTGCACTCAGAGGTCTGTAGAGAGTAAAAGAGAACTGGAGGAAACTGCTCAACACAATCCCACAAGACTGACTCACCATTCTGGGCCCAGAGGGGTTAGACCTAGCAGGAACCTGGTACGTTCCTAACCAAGAGGGGGGCGGCAAGGAACTGTGGAAGCTACTGGAAATCCTACCTAGTGGCTTCAGGCGGATTGAGAAACGGAAGAATGAAGGCCCTCTGAACACACTGACATTAGTAGAGGAAGACACTGCGCAGCTCTGGGACAACCCCGCTCAAGCACGAGTGCTGATGACGAAGAATAGAACACCGACAGTGTGTGTTCTTACATGGGTGGGCAAACTCCCGCTCAACCAATTGTGCATCGACCCAGCGGCCTGGGGTTGGACTCCACACTCAGCAGAGGAAGGTACGCTGAGTCTTCATAACTACTCGATCTCAGCGGGGTACTGTCAATACGCCCACAAGTTCAAGTCACCAGCTCAGGTGGCAATACCACATTGGCAGGCAATCTGGGACGAAGATCTCTCGAATGTTTCAACCGAGTTTGAGAGATTGTGGAAAACTCTAACTTCCATTCCAAACGGGAAACAGGTAAGCCTGCTATGAATGCTTTCGCTGATGGTAACCCCCTCAGCGGTATGGCTCACGAGCAAAGGCATGGTAGTAAGCTTGACATGCACAAGGTGCAGATGGCCGTTTGAGTCTACCAAAAACTTGTGGTGAGAGTGCCCCGCCTCCAAGAGAATCTGGAAGTGGTGGGCCTACCACTGGAAGGCGTTGGGGGGCCAGGGAGTGGAGTGGGAGGACAAAAGATGGGTGCTGCTTGGTTTTCTCCCGCCTGATGTCGTGGGGCGAAGAGGCTGGGGAAACATAGCACATGTGGTGAGGGGTCTGATCTGTGAAACGATTTGGGCAGACAGGAACAGGTCGAGGTTCCAGAAATGACCGTTCTCGGATCTGGAAACAAAGCGTCATATCAAGAAAGGATTAGAGCATGCTATTTGGGCAGACTGGAGACGCAAGGCAAAGTCGGGCAAGGGAAGCAGACGTCAGCTACGATGGTTCCTCCACACCTGGGCAAAAAATCATCAGCTGGCCGGAGTCCACTCAAGAAAGGGTCTGATAATCTTGAAATGGGTACGGGAGGAGCCGCAGTGAGAGACAGGTACTCAGTAGTTAGAGTGGGCCCCTCTGCAGGATCTGGGTACTCGATCCTACAGAGATGCATTAGTTAGTCTGAGCCTTCCGAGAACCAGGACACTCGGTTCAACAAGGCCGCAGTAGACCTTTAGGTGAGTGTCCGTAAACCATGGACCCAGTCCTCTGCGCCGTGCTAGTCGCAGAAGTAGGTTAGAACAGACAAGTTAATTTTCGTTCGGCCTTTGCATCCTTCCAAACGAATTGCAAGTTTTTCAAGACTAGACTTAGTTATTAGTTCAGGAACTTGGTAGTGGGAGTTCCGCAGGCAAGCTGTCAGATACCTCCGGGTTGAATTGTGAGGTCCCCGGCCTCGTTTCGCATTTTTGTAATTAAAAAAAAAAAAGTCCATCTGCCCCTTCTGCAGTCCATCCGTAAACACCTGCACGGCATAACAAACAGGAAGGAAATCTTGCAGTCCATCTGGCCCTTTTCCTTGGTCCCATCGGCTTCATCCCACGTATCCCACGTTGCACTGAGGGCCTTCCCCAAGGCCGACTTTTTCGGTGGTGGGGACGAGTTCACTTTCTGCAAAGCCGGGGCCGTGTACTGGTGGAGACGACTTCATTTTCTGCAAGCCAGGGGCTCGGCCTACCGGGCCAAGACAAGATGGCTGGCGGCGCCAGGCAAAAATACAATATTTGGCGCCCACGTCATACCTATCTCCCTAATGTTCGTCGCGCGGCAGCAACCTGGGGCCAGGTCCCACTGGCGTGTGTTGTTCATTCTTGACCTCTGATTGTGGCGGGAATACACAGATCCATGGCCCGAAATGAAGAACACCATCTAGTGGGACCTGGCCCCAGCTCGGAGGGAATTGTGGTAAGAGTCTCGGGGCGCCCAAATATTGGGCGAATTCACGTTCGGATGTCGTACGTGATCTTTGCCCGCGGCGCGGTGAGGTTTGCTGGGCATGCCAGAGTGAAGCTCCAGCAGGCGAGGTTAGAGCTGGCAATGTATCATGTATCAAAGTAGGCGAAGGGGAAAATGTTATTAACTCCCGTCGCGGACAGTGTTTGTATTAGGCGGCTACGTGCCCGCTGCCGGAGACGCGGCGGTGCTCGGTTGTCTTCCCCGGCAGATGTATATTTTCTCTTCTTTCGCCGTCGTGGTCTTCTCTCACGCCTGCGAGTTGCCGTGTACAGGTAAGGCTATCTATCGCTGGTGTCCCTTGTATTGTTCTGAGGATGTTTCCGATTCTTCTGTGTTGCTTTCTAATGTGGCTGCCTTTGGATTGTTCGCATGCCGCTGTCGTGTCGGTAGCCTATTTGTTGGTTGTCGAAGTGCGTTGTCGGTTTCTCCGTTATGCTTTAATACGTCCTTGGCTGAGCGTTGTGGGGATGCGATACTACTGTTCTGTCCTTGGACCGTGGAGCACGCGAAATCGAGGTTGTGCTCCTGCATGCGTGTCTTTGTTATTGTTCTGTATGTGCGTGTGTGTGTGTGTGTGTGTGTGTGTGTGTGTGTGTGTGTGAGAGAGAGAGAGAGAGAGAGAGAGAGAGAGAGAGAGAGAGAGAGAGAGANGAGAGAGAGAGAGAGAGAGAGAGAGAGAGAGAGAGAGAGAGAGAGAGAGAGAGAGAGAGAGAGAGAGAGAGAGAGAGAGAGAGAGAGGGGTTTGTTGGTGGCTTGCACGCACAGGCATGCACGTCACTTGAATGATGAACAGTTTTTGAACGCACGATTTTATAGGAGAAAAGGTGAACGATCAAGTTTTGTAACGGACATGAACGAATGATGTGGTGTGATGTGGTGTGTGTGTGTGTGTGTGTGTGTGTGTGTGTGTGCGTGCGTGGTCACAGTGTCGCAGACGTACTAGATGCAATTGATTCTGAAAGTGTGGCCGTAAACACACTGGCCATACCTGTACCTTAGTGATATTGATTTGATCTCGGGCATAGCTCTCTGATGTGTTTTCCCCGTGTTCTGTGCAGAGTGTTCGGCAGTCCACTGATATTACCTTTCGACCGGTCAATTGAAATAAGATCGTGATTGAGAAGAATGGCACGTCCGGGAGGAATTATTGAGCGTGACGATGACGATGATGATGCCAATTTCGAAGACGCTGTGTTCATCGACGCGGACGATATAGTGGAAGATGTGCCGATTGACGAGGAGACCTTGCCTGACCGGGACAGCGAGAACGATGAAGACGAAGATGAGGGGGAGGAGGGAGAGGGCGAGGAGGTGGAATACGAGCCGGAGAGGGACGATGCAGTGGAGGTTTTCAAGGCGCATACGGACTCGGTTTACTCTGTCTCGTGCAGCACGGGAGGCATGATTGCTTCCGGAGGCGGGGATGACGTCGCGTACCTATGGAAGATCTGTGAAAGCTCTTCGTCGTCCAAGCAGCTGAAGGGTCACACGGATTCAGTATCTGCCTTGTCGTTTAGCGAGGATGGCAGTTTGTTAGCGAGCGGTGGGCTTGATGGGTCTGTGCTCGTTTGGGACACACAGTTGGGATCTCTGAAACACCGCTTGGAAGGTCCGGGTGAGGGCATCGAGTTTGTATCGTGGCATCCGAGAGGACCTGTGGTGGTTGCAGGGTCCGAGGACGGGACGATATGGATGTGGAACGCCGATAACGGCAAGTGCATGCAGGTGTTTTCGGGACATGGCGGCTCGGTCACATGTGGGCGATTCACGCCAAACGGACAGCTAGTGTGTACTGGATCTGCGGACGGCAGCCTAAGGCTATGGAATCCGAAGACGGCCGAGACCAGCATGGTCATTCAAGGACACGCTTTCCATGCTGAGGGGCTGACGTGTCTTGATGTCTCCTCCAACTCGTCGCTGGTCGTCACAGGCTCCACCGATGGTTCAGTCAAAGTGAGTCAGCTGCAGAGTGGGAAGGTGGTCGGTTCTCTCGTCGGACACAACAAGTCGGTGGAATGCATTCGCATATGCCCTGAACTCCCGATGGCCGCTTCGGGTTCCATGGATGGGAAAGTCCTGATCTGGGACCTGCAGACGCTGTCAGTAAGAAATGCCTGTGAGCACGACGAGGGTGTGACCAGACTGATCTGGCACCCTTCGTCTCCACTGATTTACACGGCGGGTGTGAACGCGAAAGTGCAGCTGTGGGACGCGAGGACCGGCAAAGTGCAGAGGACATTCCTCGGCCATCGAAAGACGATCTATGATCTCGCTGTCAGTAAGGATGGCGACGTGGTCGTTTCCGGTTCAGATGACGGGACGGTGCGAGTGTTCTCTTGCTCCTAGGCAGGAAACCCACAAGCAATCTCTCTCTCTGTCTCGCAAGCAATCGTTATGAAGACACAATGTGAGGGCGCCGGAGGATTGGACGTCCGAGTCTTCTCTTCTCTTTTCTTGCCTGTGTCCAATCAGGAGATCAAGTCACGTTTAAGGAAACTGTGGAGCGAGTAATCTTTCTCTCTCTAGCAGTCGTGAAGGAAAGAGGTGAGGTCGACACGTACTCGACTTGAGTTTACGGGTCGGAGAAGAAGCATCTGATGGACGGTGGAAAAAGCAAGCAATTCAGACTGTGGAGGTGAAGCATAATTTGGATGCATAAAGCGTGGTTGGGATGCGATTCTCGGCTCTGCTTTACGGTTGCCTCTTGACAGTGAGGTTTGGACGTCTTCGTGGAAAGGGTAGAAGCAGTGCGCATCGGAGTGAACGCTTCATTCAACGTCGTTCCTCGGTTAAGTAAATGGCAGTACTGGAACACGGACTACGACGAAGACTTCAAATGACTTGGGTAGCGCACAGGTGCATGCTGTCCGACGCCTTTTCAATCAAGACGCGGCAATCACGCGTTCCCGGAAGGTCAGTTGCTTATTAAAGTTGCGTGCTTGGTCTCCTAGGGAACGAGTCGAGTATATCACCCCCTCTATTAATTTTGAATTTGTCCTGGTATCTGCAGTCGTCTGTCTTGTGTGTGCGGGCCTCTGCGTGCGCGATTTTCCTTGGGATGAGTATATAATCATTCTCATTAATGTTAATTTGTCCTGTTTCCTCGTGTGAGGAGTTCTGCCTTTTGCGCATGTTTGTCAAATCTCAAGTTGCGCTTCCCTTTTTTCCCTTTTTTATTCTATCTCTACTTGTTTCGTCTGAGCTCAATTTGTGGCAACCCCTTTTATGAAGCATTGATGCTCTGAAAATCATGGTAGGTATCTTATTATTGCTTAATCGTGACGAGCATTCCAGGCTGATGGTCCCGCATCTAAGAAGGCCCTTGGGGTGGGTGTTTCTCGTAATAATATCTCCGGAGAAGAATAGGGACGGTATCGCCGGCAGCATATATTGCGGGCGAAATCCCTATCGTTAGTCGGCACATGTGTGTTGGTTGCCACGAGCACGAAGTAACGTGACCGAAGTGCTTTGCCTTTTTTTTTGTTGGGTGGTAAAATCTGGGCTTCTCTGCAGCTGTCGTTAAGTCGACGAGGGAAGTCGACATTGTGAGTATGCACTTTCCCGGGTTGNTGGGCTTCTCTGCAGCTGTCGTTAAGTCGACGAGGGAAGTCGACATTGTGAGTATGCACTTTCCCGGGTTGATTCGTATGCCATTTCTTTTTAGTGTTTTAAATAGTGTGTGGGAACGTACTCCGTAACGTTATGTAAACGAGAGCATGGTGATATTGGGCGTTGCGGCACGGCACACGAAACAGAGAACGAAACGAATGTATCCTCCCCTAGAAAATGGCCAGGTTAATCGGTTTGCTATAAATAGTAACGAGTGTATTTTGCCACCTTTGGTGGCCAGATGCACTCGTTTCCTTTTTGTTTCGTGTGCCGTGCGGCGAGACCCATTAGCTATATGAAGGGATTCTGTAACGTGCATTTCTATCAAAATTCGGTCCTCACATTTATTTCGGTGTCGGTTGTCGGTCGTACCGGGAGCTTCGTTACGTCAGGCCAATGTCACACACAAGTAGTATACATCTGTCGCGTGTTGATAGCGTTCTTACACCAGGCCTATGTCATACACGTGCGTGTCGACAGCTTCGTTACGCCAGGTCTAGGGCCAAATGTGCCGAGTTTTATGTTTCACTCTACCCGTCTTCACCTGAATAAAGCAAACCGCCTGGTCATTTATATCTGCATCTGGACTGAACTCGCCCCAAATGCAGCTCTAATGATCTGGCGTTCTGTTCGGGTGAGCACGGATAGTAGGTATACTGGAGATGCGGAGTTTCGACCTTACAAGTTTTGAGAGCTGGCGAGCCATCGAGTCTACGTCCGATTGTTGGTCGTTGGAATGAAATCATCTGTGAGGACCAGGGTCTCACTGTTGTATGATGATATGAAATCAACTGTGTTCAGAAAGAAAAGGGCTTTTTGTCTTAGAACGGTGAAGCGAGAGCTGTGGCGAGCCATCGAGTTTACGTTCGATTGTTGCGCGTTGGAATGAAATCAACTGTGAGGACCAGGGTTTCAGTGTTGTATGATGAAATGAAATAAACTGTGTTCAGAAAGAAAAGGGCTTTTTTGTCGGTAGGCTTGAGCGTTGCTCAGCTCATAGGACAGAGGCGTGCATAGGTCGGAGAGAGTATGTATTGGTGGTTCTTAAATTAGGGTTTGTCTTCTTATACTAGGGTTTGTTCTCTTATTCGGGATGGGAGAGGGAGGGAGCTGCGAGGATGACATTAAACCAGCTCACTCGCGAATGAAAGAGGACGAAAATTATGTTCCAATGCGGCTGAGCAGCTCAGGGTATACTCCACTTACTCGAGGGTTTTCTGACTGAATCTATGGCTGTAACTGCGGTCGGATTCATTTGAAAAAGTTCCGGCTGCGTGTGTGAATGTCATCAATCCCTCGACCCAGCCAGCCAGCTGGCGGCGGTCGCAATCAGTTCAGTGCTGTGAGAACAAGTATATGTCAGTCGTGAATGGTTTTATTTACTGATGAGCAGTGGACACAGCTCAATGACTAACTGATTTTTAAGGATCCACTCGAATCATTGTTTAGCTACTTGGAAGTGATAGCTTTAGCGATTTCCGAGCCGTCGTCTCAGTGTGGACCCACCACTTCCTCCTGAAAAGTCCAGCTGAACCCTGCAAGGAGAAATAGGACTCCAGTGGGCGAACCGGACAATTGTGGTTGAAGAAGGTAGCGGCGGTTCCATCCCACCTGTTAGACAAATGGGAGCTCGTCAGCACCGTCGGATGCTCGCACTGTTTTCGGGCCTGACCTAATAGGCGTGCTGGGAGAGTAGTTTGTTGGCCTGTGTTTTGTCTACTGCTCTGTGTGCTATAGGCCCGAACTTCAGACCTAATACGTTGGTTTAAAAAAACGTTTGGCGTTGTCTACTGGCTGTGATGATTATGGCGTTTACCTGATGGTGGCTCTGCCATTCAGTGCTGTTGAGCTTGTTTTACCAATGGATCCTGCTGAGCCAGGCAGACACTGAAACGCACCTAGGTAGTCATAATTGTAGTCTCACCCCGTCACCGCTGTCTATTGGCCCCCTGCCCTCGACCTTGGTCTACTGTTGTGTTGTCATAATTGTAGTCTCACCCCGTCGTTGTGGGATCTGAAATCGAGATCTGATTTTCAAACTACAGCGAAGTCCCCACTGGGAGGTCGTCTTGTCGAGTCTAGGGCAAGGGGGAATGATGAACCTGGAAAAGAATCAGATCTGTTGTCAGCAATGTAGTTGAAATATGTATAAGACTACAATTCGCTGACTCCTGCCCTCTAATAGAAACGATGGATGGAGAGCGAAGTTTTTTGCTTCCTCACGGTGGGTTTGTGTGTTGTTTTGGATGACCTGAAGAAGTGATTTATCTGTTTGTGTATTGTTTGGGATGGCCTGAAGAAGTGATTTATCTGTTGATCATCTTACAAATTCTCACCTTGCAGATGTATCCATGGCAATCTTGAAAGATGGGGTAGTTTGGGGGTCTACGTTACTGCACACGCGCCATTGTACTGATTGCATCCGGAACCGTCTGTCAGTGGGTCGGGTGTATGAAAGCGGCGCCATAAGAAAAATAAAATTCGGTCGAGGATGCCGAGTATCTCGCGGATTTCATTGCCTACATGCTGAATCTGGGCGGTATCCTTGGTCCCATTCCTTTCACTGCAATATTTTAGATCGTCAGCCGCGATGTGCTTGGCGTTTTCCTGGGTGTCCTTCGGCGGTTTCGTTCTCCGGGTTTCCTGACCCAGCAGGCATACGTACTGATTGCATTCGGAGCCTATGTATTATTATATCATTGCAGATGTACGCGCCATTATACTGATTACATTCGAAGCCTTCTGTCAGTGCCTCGGGTGTATGAAATCGGCGCAATATGAAATTCCTAGGTCGAGGACGTCGAATATCTCCAGATTTTCGTTATCTCCGTGCTAGGTCTGGGCGGTGTCCTCGGTCCCATGGCTCCAAATTTGTCACAAGGTGATGTTATTACGCTTTATATCTTTGATTGTTAGCCGCGGTGTGCTCGTGCGTTTTTGTCTGGGTTTCGTCCGGGTATAACGAATGTTTTTACATAAGATATTCTCGTAGTTCTCGTCAGTTTTTGTCGTTAGTTTTCCTTGTGTCCTTCGGCTGTTTCGTTCTCCGGGTTTCATGACCCAGCAGCGCCATTATACTGATTACATTCGAAGACGTCTGTCAGTGCCTCGGGTGTATGAAATCGGCGCAATACGAAATTCCTTGGTCGAGGACGTCGAATATCTCCAGATTTCGTGACCTCCATGCTAGGTCTGGACGTTGTCCTCGGTCCCATGCCTCCAAATTTGTTACAAGATGATGTTATTACGCTTTGTATCTTTGATCGTCAGCCGCAGTGTGCTCGTGCGTTTTGACTGGTTTTCCTCCGAGTGTAACCTTCTTTATTTTTACGTAAGATGTTCTTTTGGTTCTCGTCAGTTTTTCTGGGGCTTACGATCTTCATTCCAAGTTAGTAAGATTTTGTTGTTTTCATGGATAGATTGGGGCTTTTGTTCTAAAAAAATAAAAATTGCTTGTTCCGCGCAACATAGTCGGGAAGTTGTCGTCTGCGAAGACGAGTTGGGGAAAATCATTTCTGCTCAACATTGCATTGCATGACAAGTCACAAACAAAACAACATTCGAAGTGCATGGAGTCTGGAAAGCGCAGCGTAGATCAGATCACTGCTTCCACAGCCTCGGATCCCTCCGTATGTATGACAGCACACGGATTCGAACTGGCACCGTTGGCCTCATGAGCCGAGCCTCGTACCCAAAGCGTAGACCTGACGGATGCGCAAAATACAATCAATTACAGAGAAGGCTCTTTACGCTCTTTTGTTTGGTTCGTGGTTGTGCTTGGTGGTATTGTATCTGTGGTTTTCTCGCTCACCTTTTTTCGCGTCTGCGGCTGCCAGTAGTGACACCGTAAATTAATGTAGACGCGTTCCTGCAACGTATGCCGCCGACGATGAAATAAAATCAGGGTAAGTGCTTGTCATCAAACGGAGGAGTGCGGAAGACATCTGCCTGGCATCGTATCCAAAGAGACGGAGAACTCTGTTTCTGTCTCTCAATACAATGATGCTATATTTAGCACCCCCTTGCCGTAAGCACCGGCCATTCGTTGTGGTCCGTGTGTCCTGCTTCATAGGGGTTACAATCGCTAAAGTATCGTGCTGGGCATTATTTGGTCAAAAAGTATTTTCCTGTCCGCGTTGTAAACGATAGTGGGTGTAATGTGTTGTGATGTAGGTTTCCATTTAGCTTTGTTTCGTCTCTTGCTTTTAATCTTTTCTACGATATACGCGTGTGATCCTTGCGCAGGGTCAATGTATCGTACCCATTTTAACGGATAGGACATGACGAAGAACGTCTGTTGGTTCTTTCTCGTGGGCAGGGAAGGGCGTCTGTTGGTGCTTTCTCGTGTGATCCTTGCGCAGGGGCAATGTGTCGTACCAAATGAATCTGGACCGAAATTCTGTCCTGCGTGCGAGGTTGAACTCGTTGGCTGGTTACATCTTGGCGACGACGAGAGAAGAGTAATTCCGACGATAGGTGCTCCCGGTGTAGAAGGGTATGTGGCTGTATGTATGTCTACTTTCTGCGGAATGGATGCCGGTAGGGGTCATAGAGCGGAAAGAAGCGCAAGTGGCATCACATCCAAAGAGGCGGAGGGTCGTCGTTTCCGTTTCCCAATACAGTGATGCTATACCGAGCCTTCTTGAAGAGGATATTCTCGAGCACCGGCCTTCCCTTGTTATCCGTGTGTCCTTCTTCAAACAAGGTATATTCGCTTTTATTCGTCCCGTGTTGGATGATGGTCATTTTGTTCCCTGCCCCCGGGAATCTGCTGTAAATGACGTTCTGTTCGTTGGACTCGGAAGGAGTTTGATATCCTACTCGTTTGTTTATCCGATTCCTCCAGAGAAGGTGCTCTTACCGTGCCGTCTTGATACACAGATGATCGCAGTGTGACCATGCCGTCGTGTCATCAGGTTATTAGATACAGAGGTTATCGCAGCGTTTTCTGTTCTATTCGTTGGTTGGATGGTAGTGGCTGGTTTACGTCTTCCATTTGTGAAAGGGGTTGATGTTCGATCGTTAAGCGGAGCAGCCTGCATCCGGTTGCAGATTGTCGGAAGTGATGTTATGTGCGTCCGTCGTGCGTCCGTCTGATGCGGTTGGTAGTTCGTTCGTTGGGACTATTGCAGTATTAGAGTTGCCTTTGTAACGCTTGAAGAATGCCGTCGTTCTTAAATTGCCGAAAGATTTGTGAGTAATGCAGTTTGTTAGTTGTCGCTCCACACTCGGAAGGTTCCAAGGTTTTTTATATGTTCACTTCCTTTCCCCCAATATACCTGCAGTTAATGTCTCTGGGGAATTATGGGGTTTCAGTCGTAATGCAGGCCTGTGGGTGCGACCATCGGTCTGCAGGAGTGAGTCTACTGCCTAAGAGTCGTTGGAGGTGTAGCTTGTCCTGAGGATGATCAGACTCTGCGGTTATCGATTTTCTTCTCACTTAGGTATGAAGTGTCACCCAAGTGGTGTGATTTGTGATCGACTATCAGTCAGTCCAGTCTCGGAGCTGCTGCGAGGATGACAACAAACCAGCTCACTCTGAGTTCTTGATGAAAGTTACGTTCCAATGTTGAGCAGCTCTGATCGAACCTCAGTGAAGTTTGTGCGGAGTGACAGAGCTCTCTGGGTTGTTTTTATACCAAACATCTGTTTTCTGTTTTGACAAGCTCTGTTTTTTTTGACAAAACCTCGGGTTGTGGTACTTGTCCAGTCAGTCCTTTTACAGATTGAGAGCTGTTCCTGAAGGGTGTGGGCGTGGGCGGACCACCGTTCATGCTGTGCGTTATATATAAGTCTGGTAAAATCCGTCAGCGAAGGAGACCTGCCAGCGTGGCCGGCCTTTTAGAGAAGAGAAAAACAGTGGAGTAGTGGACAATGTGTTTGGAATTACGACAAGGCCAGTTTTTTAGAGAAGATAAAAACAGTGGAGTTGTGGACAACGTGTGTGGAATTATAACAACCGTCGGTATTTACGTTTGGTACAGTGTCTGCGTGACGACGTTCAGTGTAACTTGGTCGACTTGCTTGACGATGTGTACGATGTTGCATGCGTACTTTACCCTCTTGCCTCCGGAGGAGCATAAGGCTGTCAGGGGCGCTGGAGGTGGATGTGGCCGACTTTTCCACAACTCGATGAGGACTCCCTCTCGACAGTGGAACCTGTCGTTCCAATTGCAGGATTGTCGATATGCACAGCTGTTTCGTTTCTGGCTGTGATGATCGTGGTGTCAGCCTGATCGTGGCTTTGCCAATGGAATGCTGTTGAAGCATGTTATTATACCAATGGATCCTGCTGAGCCAGTTTTTTTGTGAGCATATCAGGCGTGCTGCGTGTCGCGAGTCTTTGCCTATCATCCCATCCTCGTTCCCTGCTGCCCTCCGTGCCCTGTCCCACAGGTACTCATGTGGAGGACTCGTACTCTCCTGGAAGTCGGGTCAGTCATTTCGCGGTCTGTCCGATGCCTGTTTAAAACGGTAGTGATAATGTCTCTCGGATTCTCTCGCATATTTCTGAAAACAGGTGAGAGTGTCTGTAGTAAAATATGCCCATCAGGCAAGGCGGGACACTTGCTACGACAGCTCTGTTTTTCTGTGTTTTTTTTTCATCTTCGTTTCTGAAGCCGACGGTCCTGAGATATCATTGTTGTGCAGACCGGCCCCGTCTGATTCAGACTTATTTAAGTTTTCATCCGATTGCAACTGGATTGGAGATTGGGTCTATGTGTCGACGGTTCACGGGCGTACCAACTGAGCTAGGGTCCTTTTAATCTGATGACCGAAGGCCGTGACACTGACGTTGTTGCTGACTCGGATACGCATTGTGTGTTGATTTTCTTGTGCATTCAGTTTGGTGGATTGTCGGGACCTGGAGTTGGATGCATCACAGCTGGAGGCTGCTGGAAGTGAGTGGGGAGCGGTGGTCAATGATGCAGCCTGCAGACACAAGTGCAGATATCGTTTGTGCATTGTTGTGGTTTCTGCGGCAGGCGAGGATTTCCTAAACGTTTGTTTCAACGTGGGGACTCGATCTTCGATGTCTCAAAGTCAATCAAGCAAGCTCACGTCCCATCCGTTTCGAGAGCGGCGGAGCGTTCTACCAGGCCCTTGTTGTGGAACTTCGTCAGCAGTGAGTGAGTGAATTAGCTGGCAGTTTTTTCGGAAATGCGAATAGCAGGGGAGTTGCCTGCCTGATTATGATGAACACCCGAGGGTCACGCCGGGCTGGAAATGGGTCTCATCGACTCTGATGGTGTTCTTCTACACAGTCTCGCAGGTGAAGTCGTTCTATGGGATTGTTGTGGACACAGCTTTGACAGATTTGCTGTGCGGTCACTGGCCCCCGCTAGATTGTTGCAGATTGGGATCCCATGGGATTGGAATCATTTTGCTTTACTTGTGTCGAGAGTTTTGAGCGCATCAGCAGGAGAGAGACAGTACGTATGCATTTGATAGGAGACTGATGCCATCGACAGAAATCTTGTTACTTGATTTGGGGGTTTCATCTTTAAGTGACTGGGAAGAGTGAGTAGGTGGTTCACTAGAGAGGCAGTGCGTCGTTTGCGGTGTGCGACACTGCAGCTGATGTGCGTGCGGATCGGAAGACATCGTAACTTGCTGCGTAGCAGAGACGCATTCGTTATTGTGGTCGATTCTGATCGTCATCTCTCTCTCAGTGCCTCTCTCTCTCTCAGTGCCTCTCTTTCTTTCTCTCTCTCTCTCTCCCTCTCTTGTTCCGTTTCGTCGGTGCCTATTCGCTGTGTTACTTTGCTCAATATATGTCTCTGCCAAGAGTTCGAATTTAGGAATTGTTCTTTATCAGTTCTATCATTTGGCATGGCCTAGGGGATGAGACGAACACGACTGGAAGTGCGCTCTTTATGAGCAGACCTTTTTCCGAGGGTTGGCTGGATATGGATGTTGGGCAAAGAATGTGGCATGCGAGTAGCCATCGTTTGCATCTGGGGGGGCTAGAACCACACATGATGTATGTATATCATGCCATTCACGATGACGGTTACTAACAGGCAACACCAAGTCGAACAATCATGAAGGGAAGGAGACAAAGCACAAGACGGGAGAGGAAGAGACAGGATTGTCCCGAATGCGACTAGCATTAAAAATCAACATGGAGATCAGCTACGGTGAAAACCGAAGCTGTTAGCATGATGGTTTGTTTTTCCACTAGTTAACGTAAACGAGGAATCCGAGGAATGGAACAAGGGGACTGAAGGTGTGGGCGCAATTTTCTTGGCACTCTCGCAGTCCCAGAGAGTCAGGGAAGGGTTCTCCAGAACCGGGACAAAAGCTAGTATGGTCTGTTTTTCCGAAGTGTTTGCCCACACAGAGGATTCAATGATCCCCCATGTTTAACCAGCGACAGTGCTCCAATGTCTCTTTTACGACGCTGTTCACATTGCGGTCGGAATTGACCCTGTTTATGTCCCCTTCGGTTCATTTTGTTGCAGCATGTTTTGCAGCGGGTCTCCTCTGCAGACAATTAGGCCGTTGCCACACGTCACTCGAAATGCAAAACGAAACGAGTGTAGTATTTTAACACAGGAAATGTCCCGGTGCATCGGCTTGCTATAAATAGAAACGAGCTTACTTGCTATAAATGTCCCGGTTTCGTTTTCGTTTCGTGTGCCGCTGGCGTTTTTACTCATCCGTTACGTAGCCCCACTGCATGCGATGCCTGAGATGTATCTTCTTTTTTTTTTTTTTTTTTTTTTTTAATTGATGAGAACATTATATGATTACCAAGGTCAAATCGAGGCCGGGGGGCATGTCCCACTTGCACCGTTGAGCTAGCTCAACGTTGAGTATTCCATTACGTTTGACCTGGGGCAACTCACACGATCACAGGAGGAGCGGGGCATCAGGCGGTTCAATTTATTTGTGAAATGATAAACGACTTTGTTTTTTTTTTTTTGGTGTAAACGAAGGGGAAAATGCGGCTGCCCCGATTAGAAAGCCCCCTCCCCTGGCCCACTTCCGTTGAACTACCTGCCTTTTCAAAAACGGGGTAGGTAGTTCAACGGCGGCTGCTCGGATCGATTTCCCGAAAACCAAAATTAATCGGACACAGGTTCATGATTGCCGTCGTGCCAGGCGCCGCGATCCGCACACGTAGAAAGTGCGTAGTGTCAGACTACACTCCGTAAGCACAGCGCATGAGGTTCTTCACAGTTTCTATTTGGACTATGAATGTGGGCTGTTTTGTTGTCCACGTTCGGGAGAATGTTGATAGATTACGGAGTAGTGACCACCGATAGCCATGCGTGAATCACAGAATGCCTGAACAGCGAATGTACTTGGGTGCCTTTGTGTGCGCGGTTCATAATTGGTTTTCCCACTTCAAGCTGACAGCCGTGCGTGAATCAGAGAATGCCTGAGCAGCGAATGTACTTGGGCGCCTTTGTGTGCGCGGTTCACAATTGGTTTTCCCACTTCAAGCTGTCCGAATGTGGGCTGTTTCGGTGACCATGTTCGCACGATCACAGCCCGAAGAAATGTGCGAGGGGACAGCAATCGCGTTGTCGTCAATGCAATATTGCCTGTGACTACGAATGCACTTGGACGCCGTTACTTGCGCGATTCATTGACGTGGTCACCATTGAACATGGAGGAATAAGGGCTGTTTCGGAGTCGAATAGGGGTGTGTACGTGGGCCTCACACAGCAGGTACGTAGTTCTCAGTCTTTCTTTGCACTCCCTTGTGCATGGACGCGTTCGTGGGCAAAATACAGGTTGCTGTAGTTCTTGTACGCGGAGGGGCAAATGTGGTGCTTCCCGAGTCTTTTTACACCGCCTGCATGGGCCAC